GGGCTCAGCCTTTGTTTATGTAGATGCATATAAATATTGGAGGACTCAAATTCTGGTCTGTGCAGGTGTAGTGACTCTTATACACATAAAATAGTTGTAGTAATACACATTGTTGATGTCATCACTGTGGCTTATTAAAATAAAGCCTTACATGTCTTCTACTAAAGAACTTAGCTTGTTTTGTTCTTAAAAGAAAGGAATGTTATAGAAATATCTGCACCTAATTTTCACTGGTCTTTTCTCTAACTACTGTTTGGACTCCTTGATATCACTGTCTCTCTAAATTAGTTTTTTTCTTATCTAGCTGATTCCCGGTGCTGATAAGAAAGCACTAGGACAGCACTGGCTATTTCACAGTCAGGTGATTATTTATCATTGTCAAGATGTTTGGCAGAAGTGGCATCTTGTATGGAAAAGAGTATCTGGTCTGCATTACTTGATATAGCTTCTGCAGCACAGGAATATCTTTCAGAAACTCCTACATTTCTTGGTAATATGGAGTAGTCTTTAGGACAAGTGCTGCACCTTGTGAATGCACCAGTTTCCATTTGCAAGGCTGCCAGTGGTTACTTTGGGCAGCTTTTGGCTCCTTTGCTGACACCTCTATTGGAGCTTGAAGCCATGTCTTTTCATACCTCTTCTTCCCAACATCCTGTATCTGTCCTATGAACGGAAGCTAATCCAGGACCCTTCCCCACCCTCCTTGCTCAGAACAGGAGTCAGCTGGCTTCCACAGTACTACCACCCCTTGGTCATTCCCAATGCTTTCCCCTATGCATCACCAGTTTTCATAAGCCAGTTTCCCCACCTGTTTTCTCTGACCCCTGTAAACCATGAAACAAAACATCCAGTAAGCTTTTGCAAGCATCTTTTTAAGCCTGATGTGAAGTTTGGTCTCATATAGTGAGTTATCTCAGGCATCTTCCTATCCTCAGCACAGTCTGCATGTATATATGTTGTGGCAGAAACATCTCCTTCAGTAACTTCCAGGAATTAGATGTCACACTTGAAGTTGTTCGGCATTCAGCACCTGTGTCTATATCCTGTATGTCAACAGATTTAATGGGGAGCTATCAGCAGCCTGTTACTGTCAGTGATAATCTACTGTTAAACAACAAAAGGTTTGTTATGGTGAAAACATCCTCTAGGAATTTGTATTTATCGGATGACTGGTACTTAGCCAAAACAGCCACGTCTTTTATTGTTCATTGGGATGCTAGGTGTCTCTGTAAAGCAACATAATTTAAGATGAAACTCCAGCAGCATTTGTTTTTCAAAAAATTCTTGCACATTAGGATTAGAAGCAACACGTGTTAAAATATGTAAGGTTCTGAAAGTACATTGTCAATTTACTGATAAAGCCAAAGATTTGTGTGTGCTCTTCTTTACTGACAGTAAACATGGAAACTGAAATTATTTAGAAGTTGGAAGTCTTGTATATGGCACTGTCATAGTAAGACTAAGAGTCTTCTGGTGTGAATGAAAATCATCTGTGGAAACAAAGCTAGTACCAACCTTTTCTGGCAAGCAATAAATACAGAATCACAGAATGGTTGAGATTAGGGGAATCTGGAGTCCATTTGGTCCCACACCTCCGCTCAACCAGGGCCACATAGAGCTGCTTGCCCAGGACCATGTCCATGTGGCTTTTGAACATCTCCAAGGAGGGAGAGTTCAACAACTTCCTTGGCAACCTGTGCCAGTGCTTGTTCACCCTCACAGTGAAAAAGTGTTTCCTGATGTTCAGAGGGAACCTCCTGTAGTTCTGTTTGTGCCCATCACATCTGGTCCTGTCACTGGGCACCACTGAAAAGAGCCTGGTTGTTTTCTTCACACCCTCCCTTCAGTTCAGTACCATGTCTTTATAAGATACCCACTGAGCCTCCTCTTCTCCAGTCTGAACAGTCCAGCTCTCTCAGCCTTTTCTCATAGGAGAAATGCTCCAGTTCCTTAATCGTCTTTGTGGCTCTTCGTTCAACTTTTTCCCACATCTTCTACGGCTGAGCCAGAAACCTGACACAGCATTCCAGATGTGGCCTCCCTAGTGTTAAAGAGAGGGGAAAGATCACCTTTCTTGACTTGCTGGCCATACTTTGCCTAATGCATCCCAGGATACCACCAGCCTTCTTTACCATAAGGGCATGCTGCTGCCTCACATCCAACTTGGTGTCCATCAGGACCCCCAGATCTTTTTCTGCCAAGCTGCTCTCCAGCTGATTGTCCTCCAGTAGATACTGGTGCACAAAGTCGTTCCTTCCTAGGTGCAGGTCTTGTCACTTCCCCTTGTTGAACTTCACGAGATTGCTTTTAGCTCATTCCTCTAGCCTGTAGAGGTCCCTCTGGATGGCAACACGACCCTCTGTTGTTATGACCCACTTCTCGAGTTTGGTGTCATCGGCAATCTTGCTGTGGGTACACTCTGCCCCATCATCCAGATTATTAATGAATGGTGTTAAAGAGAGCTGAACCCAGTATCGACCTCTGGGGTACACTGCTAATTAGTGACCTCTAGCTGTATTTTGTTCCACTGATTAGCACCCTCTTGGAGCAGGATCTCTCATTGCTAGAAAGATGTTCCTGTAAGGTCAGGGATATGGGGGAAAAGGAGACCTGAGCAACTGTGTTGTTTCATAATATACACTCCAAACATAAGAAACTGATTTGTAAATTAATCTTTTTTTCTCCAAACATTTTGCTCCCAATTTTTGGATGAATTTCTACATGATTCTTCATGGCATCTAAAATGTATTTGAGACTGTCTCAGGCAGGCTGCAGAGCCCTGTATGCTGATGCAGGTCAACAATATTGCCAGATTCTAGCACGTGGTGGAGACTGTCACAAGAAGGATATCATGTAAGAAAAAAAAAATCTTTTAAACACAAAAGCATTCCCAACTCTGTGGAAACACTTCCAAATGCTTGCCTGAAACGGGAGAAAATTTCTCTTTTTAAAGTAGCTTTAACTTGTAATTTTTGGCAGTGTGGAGAGGGTACCACTTTAAACCTCAGTCCTACCAGATGAGCCATATTGCTGCAAAACCTTTGCTTGTCATTGATGGGCAAGTATTGTATTCTAGCTGCAGTGTGTTTCCAATTTTTCCCCTTATGCAAATGTACAAATGCCTTTTATGCTTTCTGAAGGTTTTTGTGTAGCCTGCCAAGGAATATTCTTTGGGCAAACCTGTTAAATTTAACAGTAACACAAGGAAAGGGAAAATTGCAACAATTGCATTAAGACAAAAATAATTGTTTTATAAAGAAAGAATTTTTTCTTTTCTTAGGTATAATATGAACCTTTATTCAGCAAATCAGTCTATAATATTTGTAGTTCTACCTAGTACATCAAAGCCTCCCTTTCTTTCCCCTTCCCAGGTAATTGCAGGAAAATAGGCCTCTATGAGACAGGCCAAATGCACATCCTTGTAGTCAGTGTAGTTTCCTAAGGGTAAGACCTATTTCATCCTAATGACTTCAGCAAGTGTGTTTCTGCTGAAGAACTGGAAAATGTTCTTTCCTGTCAACTAGCAGAACAGACTAATTCTTTCTGATGTCTATAATTCCAGCGACTGTCATCACCAATCCACTTAGAAAAGGAATCCTGCATCTGTGATGGTGGATTAAATTCTTTTGTCTGTGCCATGACTTTGAGGAGGACTTGTGCTCCCAAATCATCTAAGTGCAGTTACAAATACCATACTGCTCACCCAACCCTGCTAGAGGGGACCTGTGTTCCCAAAAAGCTGTATTTGCCATTCTGTGTGAGTGAAATTCAGTGAATCACAGCAGCTGCTATGGAGTGATTATGGATTATTGACAGAATCATTTTCAGATATTTGAAAGGTCTTATTTTTTTTTCCCCTAGAATATGTGAAGAATTTGGGGAATTATTATTGTTTATTTACAGCAGAGTATGTTTCAGTCTGACAAAATGTATCTGGAATACCTGTGTATGGGCTTCTGCCCCTGGTTTCCTTGTGGAACAACTCATACCAGCTTATTTCTCTGTCTCGATTTTTCTGCTCTGTGAGGATTATTTATATAATGCTATGGTGTTTGGCATGTATAGCAGCTTTCCTTCTCTTGTTAAATAGAGGTTAACATTTATGCTGTAAATGATAGTCCCTTCTGTAGCATTTTCGTGTGCCCAGAACAGATGGGAACTTGCTTTAAAAACTCTTACAAATTGTTTGTTTACGTTATATTTCCATCCCTTTATCTCAGTAATAGTACTACTTCCAGAATTTAGCTTTTGTGCTGCAGACTGTTTCCACCCCTCCTCTCTGTTTCTGAGGAACGGTCACGCTGAGATGGATAGTCTGAAGGTCTGCACTAAAGAGATGGGATACTGTACCATTTTGAAAGAGTATTAAGGAATCTCCAAAATGTTCTCCAGTGTCTAGGAGCTTGTGATTGTATAACATGCATAAATACATTCACTTGGTATGACCCCTTGTTATAGGACTAAGATCATGGTATTCTTACTTCTGCTTGCTGTTGTTTCATCGCTTTCTTCCCCATTCTGTTAGGAGTGTGGTTTAATGCATCCATCTGTTCTGCACTCACTCATTCCCATGACCCAAGTATGAATAGTTAGAAATAATGAAGTAGGAAATTCTCAGCCAATAAAAGATCTGAAGAAGTGCAACACTTTTCAAAAGTACCTTCTGGTCTGAATATTATGAGACTGTTTGCATTCACTGTTTTTGACTTCCTGACTGTGTTGATGGGTGGTTATTTGGAGGACCAAGGGCTGATGTCCTCTAGCATGTTTTGTTTTCCCACATGGAAAATCCCTACCATCTCTGTTCGTATGCTTGCTTTCCTATTCTTATATCCTGTTCTAGTGCTTGCCATAAGGAGGTGGAGAGAAAGCTTACATCTCACTTGCCATTCACAACATAGAAGTCAGAAGGGTCATTAGACAAGGCGAAGAGAGTGTTTTCAAAAGGAGTCCATAACCAACAACTTTCCCTAATCTAAAATATATTTGAAACCATTCTGAAGTATGAAAAGTGAGAGAAGAGTGTCTCACCATTTTTCAACCTCTCTGGCCATTGGATTTTTATGGTACCAAAGGCTGGGAAAGTCAACAATACATAGCTGGCTGCCTGCAGAAAATTCAACAATCACTTAATTGTTTTGTCTCCTGGAAACACAGCCAGGAAAAACAAGTTCCTTTCTAAAGAATTCCAGCTCTCTTCATAAACATGTATTTCATCTGAATAAACCAAGCTACCCTGAATTGCCTGCTGGCATATGATGTACTGTGTTATGATACGGTAGAATTGCAAGCAGAGGAAAAACACATGATAGTGTGAACGATAAAAAGTGAACCTACTAGGTCTGCAGTAGATATTATCCTGCACAGTGAAATCTCTCTCTCTCTGTTGAGCTCTTCCAGCCTCCAAACAGTTCATTTGTCAGTGTCCACAATGCCATGCTGGTCGATGCTCTCCATGAGCCACACCTCCTCCAGCAGGGATGTGTCTCTGGGAGAGGGGGTGGCAGTAGATGGGAGCATAGAATGGAAATGGCAAGCAAAAATTATTATTTTGAACACATGTTAATTGATGTGACTGAATTAAGACAGCTCTAAACTAGAACCAAACACAAGCACTGAAACACGGTGTGGACATTTTGCAAGTGCTAATACAGAATCCTCATCTAGAAGACTTTTTCTTAATGTAATTATGTATGCAAACATGCACAGATCCTTGTTAAACTCTTATCAATATCTTAGTCATTACCGCATAAAAGAGAAGACTTCAGAGTAAAGATAGGCCTGGTGAATATACATAATTCCTATGAAAATAAAAAAATGAAAGTGAAATCACATGATTTAGATTCTATGTACATTTTTGATATGGACTTTGTGGCAAAGCTGTATAAATTTACCTCAAAGTTTCTGTGACATCTCAGAAACTCCCAACCTGCAAATGTGAATTTTCTTTGCTATTTGAATCTGTATTAAATTACAAACTCCATTTTGTATTCTAAGCATTAATTGAGTATATTACAGCTTCACCTTTACTGAAGTAGGCTGGGAATGCCAGGATAAATTTTTGTGCCTTGCAGAAAGCCATCAGTGGCTGTTTGTTAAGCCTTGAAGATTAATTATTCAGACAAGAGTAGACAAAATACAAGCTATTGCTACAGGGAAAACAGTTTTTGAAGTTCATATTTTAGGTAGGTTGATGGCCAAGAATCACCATGACAGAAAGCTGTGAGGAAGGGTCAGAGAAGCTACCTGATTTAAGGACAGAAAATGTAGGAATTAAAAGGCCTTTTAGAGAAGATATTGGATCCTGATGAATAACTAACTGCTCAGGAAGACAATGGAGAGACAGAGTTCCACTTTTTGCTGAACAGAGTTTCCCCACTTTTATGTATTTACCACTGTTCAGTGATTCATGCCTGTGGACATTGTTCTTTTCTCTAATGAGCAGGAAAAAGCGTACTCAAATTTCATGAGAAGGACAGGGCTGTGGTTCCTAACTAAGCAGGTCAGTTGCCTTGCAAGGCACTGGCTGGAACAGCTCCTGTTCTTTGGGAGCCTTCAAACTTGCCTTGCTCTCCTCCTGTGAGCTCCTGAAGACAGGGAGCTGCCTTGTCATGCTGTGCAAGCCATGCTCCTCTCCCTCTTTCCCCAAGGCTTGTTCGCTTGCAGCTTGTAGAAACATAATTCTTCTGTGTTTCTATGACAATAAATATTGTCTTTAAAATAAAATGAGCAAAACAAGTTAAGACAAGTTTTTGTCAGTTGCCAAAGAGATTTTCCCCAGAGTCATAGGCACAGTTTCTGACAGCCCAGACACCACTGTGGGTGTCTTTGCTGTATGCTTTGAGTTACGTATTACAAAACACTGCTAAATGCTTAGTTATTGTCTACCTGGAAAGAACATAACATGTAAAGACAGACTTTACATGCTGGCAATATGTGTTATATATTTCATAGAAACTCAAACATTGTATGTATTGCTGAGCAGCTTGGTCTAGTGGAAGGTGTACCTACCCATGGCAGGGAGTTGGAACTAGATGGTCTTTAAGGTCCCTTCCAGCCCAACCCATTCTGTGATTCTATGACTCTCTGTTACCTGAGTAAACTGGGGAGCAGACCACTTTTTAAAAATTCTTTTAAAATCTTTGCATTATAAGAAAGACATCATTGTTTTCCAGTAAACAGAAAGGAGGTGTATAGAAATGTATTTATAAAGCAGGGCCTCTCACATTTTCAGGTTATCAATCACGTGCTAATAGAGAAGATATTTTCTGTCACAGACTCATGTCAACCATATGTCAAGCACATAAATGGGTGACGTGGTAAACTAAGACCTAGAACATAAATAAATACATTTGTCTCTTTTATTTAAAGCATTTCTTAAAAGGTTGTCTAAAAGCGTTATCTAAAACATATCTATCTCATTTATCTAAAGCAAGATGAGTAGGGATTATGTTTTTTTCCATTTGAGAAACATTAACAGTAGTCTTCAGGACCTAATAGGTTTTATTCTCCTGCTACATGCTATACTATCTTTTCTCCACACTGCACATACACTGATGTCTACTTTTTCTTTCCCCTGCATTTTTTTCCCAGCCACCTGACCTTATTGTCTCCATTAAGAATGCTGTGGCCTGGTTTCTTTCTTTTTGCTGCTCTGATTTTCTTATCTTCTCTCTCCTGCTTCTCTTCCTGAGAATATGTTCTTGAAAGATTATTGCCAGGGAGTATGACCTAGAATAGTACTTAGTTTATCAGTTACTATGCTACAGGCATGATTAAATCCAGTAAAATATAAATGCAATTGTCCAAAATTTTTGTAATTCTGAAGCTTTCTATGAAAAAATTAAATTGGATTAATTAATTCAGAAACTAGTGAGTAAAATTCTATTCCCATGTCAAGCTGAGTGTGGGCAAAAGCAGTGTGAACATCTCTATATCCCTCATCTGTTAACAATACTTTTTCTGGGATGATACTTTCATAGTCTGTGCATCTTAGTGATGTAATGGGGCTGACCATGCAATTGTCAGTGTGCAGCAAGAACCAGTGGGTCCCCAAAGGACACAGCTGATCTTTTCCATATTAGCATTGGGTTGTCATTTGCTTTTTGTCCTTTGATTGTCTCTACAAAGACACCACTTGTGAGGCTGTCAGTGTTCAGTAGGAATTGGAGTTTCACCTGCAGTAAATTTAAAATGCTGGGGCAGGTGCATGCAGTTGCCAATGCATACCAGTAGCTCTCCTCATAACTTAAGCAAGTTTTACTGATTTAACTTGGTCAGAATACCTCGCTTTTACCTGAAATTAGTTCTACCCTTCAGATGATCCAAATATTTGAAAAAAGAAAAGCTAGTTTCATGTGCTTTAAAGCAACTGATTCATTAATTCTATGGACAGTCATGATATACAGTCTTTCTTTCTGGGTCATAACTGTGTCGTAGGTAAGTGATTTATTGGCAGACCACAGGATTACTACTGTGCTCTGTTTTATAGAAAATGTCATAAATAATACACCCTGAAATGCCCCTCACAGATACAGAAGACTATGAATTACAGAAAGTCTTTGTGTAAAGACGTTCTACAGTGAGCTAATTAAGGCATTCAGGCATAAAGCCACTAACACAAAGAAAAAAAATTAAAAGATATAGCACAAGGAGAAAATCTATGCTTTTGATTGAGATTTGAAAAGAGAGAATGAATTGATGAAGCAGAGAGAAAGAGGCAATCTGTTTCAGATGGCAGGTTACAGATGAGAAGGTGTTTACAGCAAGCGCAGTAAGTGTGAAGGCACAGAAAGAAGCCTGGCTCTAAGCTGCAAAAGAAACAGAAGAGGGAAGAGAAATGTGTTGAATGAGAGAAAGTCCGTGGGTTTGGAAAGCAAGAGCAAGAGAAAGTGTCTGGCTGGATCATGTGCTGCATTGAAAGCTGAGCTGAGCCAGACTTGAAGAATCAAAGTAGTAGTGAAGACAACAAGAGAAGATGGGGATAAGACTGTAAAGAGGCTATTGCAGAAGAGCTGTCATTCAAAAGTGTGCTTGTGGGGCAATGATACACAGGTTTGTTCTCTGGAAATTGAATTCTATCATGTGCTTTGCTATTGCTTATCAACAGCAAAAGGCTGCATAGTCTGTCCTCTCAAATATCTTTTTAACCACGAAAGGAACTGAGTAGAGTATATTCTTATTGCTGAGAAACATCCTGGCAGGGGAAGTTGACCAGCATATTCACTTAGTCATAACTTATTCACTGTATCTAAAGTGAAATTTTCTGTCAGTAGTAACCAGGCTGTAGGTAGCTTGCAGCCATGCTGTAGGCAGAGCCCTGCTCTCCCATTGTGCTCTGTCCTTCCTTGCATTTCATGCTGCACTTGTAGCATGCGGTGGAACACTCCTTCTCCACTGATGCAGTGAAGTGCCTGAATGAACATCTGGATGGGTGAAGTGATATATTTTTTGTCTCTTAGAATGTCACCCAGGAAATGACTAGAGTTCAGAGGCAGGATATCTGGAAGAAGAAGGTGGTAGATTGCAAGATTCAGGCTCGTTCACTAAGGAAGCGAAAGCTCTCTTCAACAAGTTAGCATGGTAGTTATACACCACAGCAAGTCATGCCATGATCATAGAATTTTAGAATGGTTTGGATTGAAAGAGACCTTAGAGATCACCTAGTTCCAAACCCCCTGTCATGAGCAGGGACACCTTCCACTAGACCAGGTTACTCAATGCCCCATCAAGCCTGGCCTTGGATACTTCCAGGGATGGGGTATGCCTCATTGTTCTTGCAGTGAATAATTTCTTCCTTATATCTAATATAAACCTACTCTCTTTCAGTTTGAAGCCATTCCTCCTTGTATGTCGTGTCACTACATGCTTTTGTAAATCTCACCATCTTTCTTGTAGGCTCTCTTCAGGTACCGGAAGGCTGCAATTAAGTCAACCTGAAGCTTTCTATTCTCCAGGCTGATCAACCCCAGCTCTCTTCACCTTTCTTCATAGTAGAGATGCTCCATCCCTCTAAACAATTTGGTGTTCCTTCTCTGAACTCACTCCAAGAGGTCAATGTCCTTCCTGTGCTGGAAATCACAGAGATGGATGCAGTATTCCAGGTGGGTCTCGTGAGAGCGGAGTAGAGGGGCAGAATCACTTCCCTCAACCACCTCCCTCAACCTGCTGGTCACACTGCTTTTGTTGCAGCCCAGGAAACAATTGGCTTTCTGGGCTGGAAATGCACATTGCTAACTCATGTCCAGCTTCTCATCCACCAGCACCCCCAAATCCAACAAGGCAGAGATTCACTGTATTTTTAGGCAGTTAATATACTTGCAAATGTTGACTTCTGCAGGGCATTAAAGGAATTAATGTTACTTGAAAATGTTCTGTTTGTACCTATCTTTGTATTTATGAAACTTTAACTCAGAAGGTTATGATTCTTTTCAAAAAGAATTACTCGATCTGTGTTAAAAAGAAAAAAAAAGTGAACAGAAAATTCTTGCTAGCATAGCCATGTGGACTGGAACAGATTTCTGTAGAAGTGTGTTATTTCTGGATGTTAGTACTGTGTCTTTGAATAAAATGTTGAAATATAGTATGTGTATGCTACTTGTGTACATTTCCAGAAAGATACCGCTAGTTAAAACCAAATGAGCTCAAATAATAAGTAGTTAAAATTTTAATGGAGTAAGGGAGGTCAAGCAGAACCAGTCAGCCAGTCAGTCAATTACCAGTAAACAAAAGTAGACATGTGAGAAAAAGTCATTTACGCCATGTTCTCTCTGGAAGTCAAAACCCCTTAATTCATAATGGAATGAGGCTCTACATGAGCACAACTCCTAGATTGATCCTAATTTGTCTTTTTTGTCCTTAAAGATCTCATTTGGAGCACTTTTTTCAACCTTTTTTTTTTTTCAACAGTTATTGAAATTTTATATTTAGAAAACATTTATTACTGAATTTCGGAGTATTTTTTCCTAAATTGCAGTGAACACATAAAAAAGAGAAGGGTTATTGTAACATATATTAATTAGAATATTTTTCAGCAGTGGTCTTCCTGATTCCAATAAAAGGAGATTCCCATGCAAAAGTCAGAAGAATAAAACTGTGCCATTGGCACGTGTTGTTTCTGAGAACTGCAGGTTTCCCCTATGCTAGGGCCTCGTGGCAAGAAGGAAGGTAGAAAAACAACTTCTATTTGCAAACTTTTCGTAACTCCCAGAAGCAAAAAACTAATAAATCAAATCTGTTTCATAGTTTCTACTATTGCCAGCAGTCTCTGTTTGCCTGTAAACTAGTAGATAGAGCAAAAATAGTTCTTCTATCACATTACGCAATGGTAAAAGTACCCCATTGTTCAGGTTCCCATAATAAATATTCATGCTTTTATGGTTCCTTTATCTGCAAAACCTGGTTAGGTATGCAGTCAACCTTTTTTAATTGTTTTATTTTCTTAGGAGAATTGGTTTGTAGATTGGCAGATGAGTAGTTATGACCTCTCTCAGCCTGACACCTTGTTAAAGTAGTGGCTAAAAAATAGATCCATAAACCTATCATCCTTCACATTTTGAGCTTTTCAGTAAAATTAGCTAGTAGGTTCATTTAACTTAACTTAAACAGGGAGAGTTTTTCTCTTCAGGTGAATGAGAACTTTTCTGTACATCAAAGTTCTGATCTGTTTGGTCAGTGGAAGCCTTGCATTGACATTGTGCATGAGTTTTGGGTGAGGCAGTTGTCAATCAGCATTTATATGTATAGACAACTTCAAAGAGATGTATGATGGAGAATATGGATGTGGAAAACAAAGATTATCAGAGTTGGGGTAGAGGCTGGAAACTGTATGCTGCTTAGCAGTGAACATGCTGTGGGATTTCAACACTTAAGAGCTCTCTATCAGAGGGCACAAAATGTGACTGCTCAGTGATTATATGCTGCATTTGAAACAGCAAACAAACATTAGAATGAAAAAACCTGCTCTGTAAATAGGCAATAGTGACTGTTTCACTGAGGCTGCTCCTCTGCAACAGAAGGAAAGAAAAGCTAAGATTGCATTTTAATAACTGTCTGAAGATTTGATTTAAATGGATAAAGTTTCCTGCTAAGCAGCTCAGATTATTTTTCTTTTCATCCTCGTTTGCATGACAGATAAATTTGGAGCCAAACAAAAGCTGAAGATACAAGAAAGAAACCTGAAGTATCACAGTTCTGACTGGTGGGGTCAATTACAGTGTCTTGATTTGAAGTACTGAGAAAGTTCCATGAAAAAATCACGTGGGCCTAAGAAGGCATACATGATAATGAGTCCATCGTGTCTGTGTGCTGCAGTAGGTTGCTTCCCTCTATGGGATCAGGCATACAAGTCTCCTTGAGATGCACCAGCATTTTCAGGAAAGCTCTCTAACTTGTGCTCTCAGATGGAAGTGACACATAGTTGGGCAAAGGAGTGCATTAATAGTGCCAGTGGCACGGAACACCCTGTGGGAGGTTGACAGCACTACAGGAGATAAAAAGACCTCTGAAAGCACAGTCCAGCCCTGACTGTTCATGCATACTGTTTTGCATAATACATGCCTCTGGGATGAGAAAAGACACAACTATGGGAATTGTACTGTCCTCAGGGACCCTAGGAATTAAGTTGAATCATCAAGAATTAAGTGGGAAGCAAAATCTGCGGCAGCACTTCTTCATCTAATCTTTAAATTAGGTTTACTCTGTGTACACTTAATTTTGTGGCATCTGTTTACAGAAACAAAAAGTGTTTGCTGACTCCTCTTTACTTCCTCTCTTGGACAGGCTAAGTGCTTTCACAGCACTAGTCTGGTACAGTGACTGATGTATCTTCTCCATTCCCTCCTGCAAAGAGAAAAATTGTTATGTGTGCTCTCCATGTGCATATTTGGGTGGCTGACTGCAAAGGAAAAGAACACCAAATATTTGCATGCTTAAAAACAGTAATTCTTCACTTCTTTTGTTTTCTGTCTCTCTGGAGTGAGTCTTTTTATGTAATCCTGGCAGGGGTAATTCAATTTCTCCCTTCTTTGCCTGGGGAGGTACCATGCCTGGCCCACAGAGTCATAGAATCATAGAATCATAGAATCAGCTGGGCTGGAAGGGACCTCCGAGATCATCAAGTCCAACCCTTGATCCCCTACCGCTGCGGTTGCTAGACCAAGGCATTAAGTGCACATCCAGTCTCTTCTTAAAAACCTTCAGGGATGGAGAATCCCCTACTTCCCTGGGCAGCCCATTCCAATGTCTGATTACTCTCTCTGTAAAGAAATTCATTGTAATATCTAACCTAAACCTCCCCTGGCACAACTTGAGACCATGCCCTCTTGTCTTGCTGATGGTTGCCTGGGAAAAGAGACCAACCACCACTTGGCTACAACCTCCTTTCAGGGAGTTGTAGAGAGTGATGAGGTCTCCCCTGAACCTCCTCTTCTCCAGACTGAACAGCCCCAGCTCCCTCAGCCTCTCCTCATAGGACTTGTGCTCGAGTCCCTTCACCAGCCTTGTTGCTCTTCTCTGGACCTGCTCCAGCACCTCAATATCCTTCCTGAACTGAGGGGCCCAGAACTGGACACAGTACTCAAGGTGAGGCCTCACCAGTGCTGAGTACAGGGGAAGAATCACTTCCTTGGACCTGCTGGCCACACTGTTTCTGATCCAAGCCAGGATGCCATTGATCTTCTTGGCCACCCGGGCACACTGCTGGCTCATGTTCAGCTTCCTGTCAATCCAAACTCCCAGGTCCTTTTCTGCCTGGCTGCTGTCCAGCCACTCTGTCCCCAGCCTGTAGTGCTGCAGGGAGTTGTTGTGGCCAAAGTGCAGGACCCGGCACTTGGCCTTGTTGAACCTCATCCTGTTGGAATCAACCCAACTCTCCAACCTATCCAGGTCCCTCTGCAGAGCCCTTCTGCCTTCCAGCTGATCGACACTCCCCCCCAGATTAGTGTCATCATGTTGTATTGCTGCTGACCATTCAGGTAGCTCAGAGTGTCTCTGTGTTATGATGGACTGTCTTGTCAATATGAAGATCTTTGGGTTTTTTCTGTTATGTGTAGTATTACCTTATTTCACAGCAGTTTTATACTAATTAGGGGATGGTCCTCAGAAAAAGGGGAGGATGTTGAAGATACAGCAATAGGTAAAGCACTGCACTGAATGCTCATTAATGAGACAACTTGCAAAGTCCTAACGACAATAGAAACAGCAGTCAGTGCTGGTCAGCGCTTTGTGTGCATATATGTTTCAAATTCGTGCAAGGAATCCTATTAGAGTATTAAAATTATTTGCTTTGCCTCAGCAAGTTTTTGTGCTCATTTAACCCCTTGGTTTATCAGTATGAAGTGTAGTAACGTTCCCATGTTTAATGCTTATTTCTGTCATGAGAGAAACAAACAAATAATACTTTGCAAATGGGTTTCTTGGGAAAGGAGGCTAAGTGGCAGTAGGGTATTTTTTCCTCTTAGGGCTGATTACTTAAAAAAGCTGCTCTAGAGTTCAAAAGGTGAAAAAACAGATTTGGTGAACATGTGCATTTTACTTTTCCTTTTTTTGCTCAGAATGGATTCACAGAGCAGTCTTTTGACAGGCATGAGGCAATGCCAGTTACTCAAGTCTTGCACAAAAGAGGAGAAAGCAGTAAGTATTTGTTGCACAGTAATTCTGTGAGACTGCTAGCTTCAAGTGTAGGCTGCTCCCTGCTGCTGCTACTATATATACACCCCATGAAAGACTGGTTTAAAGTGTAATGAAACCATAGTGGAAAAGATGTATTCCTTTTCCACAAGCACTTGGAAACAAGTATCTTTTTGAAACAATAAAGTCTCCTGTGATTAAAGATGGACATGCAACTGCCTACAGCAAAGGTTCATGTAAGGCCATTTAGAAATGTATATTATGGCAGTAATGAATGGAGTTCAGAGGGTGTTGTTTGAATGGAAATGTATGTGGAAATAATTGAAGAAGAAAGAGGAGAGTCCTTGGGAGGGTGATCCTGAACAAGCACATTGTGCTATGGGGCCTTGGAATGGTGAATAGAGATGTCTCTTGCTGTGCAACAGTGTTTTTAGGAAACAGAACTTTGTAAATAAGCAGAAATGAACAGGAATATTTTGTTCCATCTCTGATTTATTTTCCTGAAATAACTGATTTCTAGTATGGAAATGCTTTTCATTTTCAAAGAACAGTGAGATTCAGAAGTTATTTCATGTTTTCCTCCTTTACACTTACTGCTACTGGGTACAGTTAGTATTCAGACTTCAGTTCTCCTAATCACCTATTGCCAAATGCAATTCTTTTTGGACAAACAAATACTGACTTTTGTAATGTGGGAAAAGTCACTTGAGGGCTCAGATGAAAACCATCACATTTTATGCGATCTAATCCACTTTTTGAGTGGAAAAGGCTAGTATATTAATTTGACAGTGGTTTAATACTGAAATTAACTGAATATGCAAATGTTTGAGGAAAAGTGCTCAGTCAAACCAGTTCTTAATATCTTGGTGCCTATTTCTAGGGATTTAAATAGAAGTAGCTTGGCTTTTCAGATAGCTCAATACTTGCATCATCCCTGGGCTTAATAACCACCTCTTCTGTGACACTATCACAGTACTACTGATTTATAAATCTGTCATGATAACATCCATGAAATTTGCTTGTTATAGAAATGTGTTGTGGCAGCAGGCAGAGGAAAGGTTATAAAAAAAATTATTGTAACTAGGGATTTGAATCACTGTCAGGGTTTATAAAAAAATTGCCTTGCAGGAGGTACAGCAATTCTGCACAAAGAGTGTGCAATTTATAAATGGAAACTTTTACACTACAACACTTTCTCCATGCATGATTAGGCTTCTTTAAAAAAAAAAAAAAAGAAGGCAGAATGGTGCAATGCTAACACTTATGAGTGATGCATGATTGATGATCCCCTAAAGGCAGTAAGAGAGAAAATTACCTCCTTCCCTCATTTAAGGACTTTATTAGAAGACTCAATGAGTTCAAAGCTCAGGAAATTATGCTAAGAGGACTGAATCAGGCTTTAAAAAAAATCACGATAAATTATTTTCTCAGCAGTTCCAGGGTAAGATTTCTTTTAATGCACTGTAAAAGAAGAATACTTCGATACAGTATTACCTGATACTCTTAAAAAGTGCCTGTCACCACATCTGTGATTTACTTGCACAGGTACTATTCTCTCCATGTACTAAATGTACTGCAATCTGCAACCACTCAAATTCATATTGCATTTTAAATGCAATATTAATTTTAAAAATTAATATGTCCTAGTATCTTAATGTAAGAAGTAAAGGGATCCTTCTTTTGGCTGTGTAGGTAGCATGATACACTGGGAAAGAACAGAAGGTGCTAACACCATTCAAAACACCAGTGTTTTCTCCTGCAGGGTTTAAGAGCAAGACCGAGTGACTGTCAGCTGGCAGTGAACACTTCTGCTGGTAGAGACAGGGAAAAGGGGAAGGGTACTAAACAGATATAGCAATACTTCTTTCCCCCCCCTTTTTTTTTTTTTCATTTTTGCCTTGCTCCTCCTGTAATTAACTGTCTCATGGCACTGCTGTAGTGTCAGGAACCACTGTCAGTACCAGTGCACCAGAGGTGCCCTGCAGCTCATCGGAGGGACATGGAACTGGGTCTGTCAAGTCAGAATCCTACTGGGCCATGCATGGCAGCAGCTTTTCCTCTCTGTGTTTATATGATCTGTGCCTGATGATTTTAGCAGAAGTTGTCTGAACAATTCAAAATTTGGAAGAGGCAGTTGACTCTAGTGTATTATGCTCCTACACAGTTTCCAGGGAGCAGAGAAGAGGCCACTTGAGCAGCCTGTAAAAGAAGCGCCCACTGTAACAGGAGCTCTACCCTTACGAGGCTCAGGGGAGTCTATATGTTATAAGCACTCCAAATGGAAAGAGCATCAGCTGGAACTGACACTATGTGTCAGCAAATTCAGCCACAAGAGACAGCTTTAGGAAGTCAGGTTTCATACCTCTTGCTACTTTAGAGTTTTGTAAAACAAAACTATCCATGGCTGAGCTGGACAAAATGCAAGTTCCTAATTCTAAAGGTGGCATGTATTATCACAGCCTTTGAAATAGGGGGACATTTCACTACCCACAAGATGTAAAACACATATTGTCTCAGGTTCTAACCAAAATGCCCTATGGGAGTGGCCTCCAAGTATGACACACATCCTTAACTTACATCAGCATTCATGGATGTTATGCTTAAGAAAAGAGGTATGTTAAAAGCATAGATACCTTTTTAGTTAGAGTGGATCAGAGTGGACTTGTAACATGTCTCTGCCCTATCACCATGTGTTAATGTGAGTGTTTAGATGTATTTTTGGGGATATGGGAACAATTTTGTGATTTTTGTTATTCAAGTAGGAGAGAAAAATTATCTATGACCTACGTCCAGACAGGAAAGTGAATTGGCAATTTTCCTGGTACAGAACCTTTATTTTCTGTAATATAGAAGTAACACCCTAAAATCCCACATTATCACCTGCAGTTTAATAAAAATAAACACAAATAGTATATTAATATTATTTGTCAGGCTGAGTGAGCTGGGGTTGTTCAGCATGAAGACAAGAAGGCTCCAGGGAGACATCACTGCAGTCTTTCAGTACTTAAAGGGGGCTTAAACAAAATAGGGAGGGCGACTTTTTACACAGGCAGATAGTGATAGGACAAGGTGGAATGGTTTTAAACTAAAAGTAGAGAGATTTACATTAGACGTTAGGAAGAAATTATTTACTGTGAGGCACTGGAACAGGTTGCCCAGAGAAGTTGTGGATACCCCATTCCTGGCAGTGTTCAAGGCCAAGTTGGATGGGGCCCTGAGCTACCTGGTCTAGTGGAAGGTGCCCCTGCCGATGGCAAGGTTTTGGAACTAGATGATCTTTAAGGTCCCTTCCAGCCATTCTAGGACTTTCTGATTGTCTGATTAATGATAGGCCATCTAATTTATTTGTATCTGTGCCAGCTCTGAGGGCTGCAAGCAACACTTGAAAGGCAAGGGAAGTAAAAGAACATTACTGTTTTTGTTGGCTTTTGAGCAACTTAAAACCTGTCCCCTTATTTGGCATAACATCTTCCCTTTGAGCACTTGAGATTACTTCACCAACTCAGACAAATTATCTGCATTTTAATAGTCACTTAGGAATTACATGTGAATCAATTCTTGGTAGTATTGATCAAGACTAATGCTTTCCTAATACCATATCTTCACAGCATCATAAAATAATA